ACTGATGGTTGCCAAGGTTCAGGGCTGGTAGCGAGGGTTGAATAGTTAGAGGATAAAGGAATTTTAGGGCAATGAGCATATTGTGTATGATACTATCATGCTAGATATGTGTCAGCATACATTTGTCCAACCCTATAGAATGCACAATGGGGAGAATGAACTATAACATAAACTATGGGCCACTAGTGATAAGAGTGTGTTCACAGAGCGGCATCAGTTGTACTGCTGCAGTAGAGGACATTGACAGTGAGTAAGCTGTGCATATGGGAGTATGGATAAAGGGTATAGGGAAGACCTTTGTAATTTCCTCTTCATTGTGTGGTGAATCTAGAACACTTTTTTTCTGTTAAGTCTTTAAAAATGTATAAGGAGAGCCTTGAAAAATCAAGTATCACAGGAAAAAAAAAGGCAAAATCATGAAAAAATGTGATCAATCATTATCCGAGAGGTTGAAAAGACACGCTCCAATTGCTTTAAAAATTCACAGAACCTAGGTCTCCTTAAAATAGCTTTGCAAACTACATGGAGAATTCCAGGCAGTAATATGAAACATAAGTCCCACTGATGCCACTGAACATGCTTCAGCTGGCTAAGCTGAAGGAGCTTGACATGAACCCAAGGCTCTGCAAAACTCAACAGGAGAGCACGGTGGAGATGGATATGGGAATGCTAAGCTGGCCCAGATGTGTACATGTTCTGCTCCATTAAAATAACTTGGATGGGAGGCAAAGTACATTTGGCACACAGAAAGAGGAAGACAGGGGAGGGACGAGACTGGACACTTAGCTCCATCAAGGCCTCCCTCCTCCTCATACTTACCCTCCCCTCCAGTTTTCCTCCATACAGTTTGTGGAGCAAACTCTCTACCACGAAAACATGACCACCAGCCTTCCAGGCTCCTCAGAACCAAACTGCTTTGCCATTAAGTTCGATTTCTGAGCTCCTTCTGGGAGTTAATAGCAGTCTTCAGCAGTTCAGTGTGTGATTGACCAAGGATGTACAGGGCTTGATGTGCATGGCTTACAGGAAGCATCAGAGGACAGGTAGAACACCTAGCTGTCGTCTCAGAAAACAATCGTGAGAAAGGATAGGGGAAGGAAGTGATGTTGTCTGGACAGAGGAAAGATAATTTCCTAAGTTTTCCACATCTGAAAAGCTGGGATGGAATTCTTCATGATCTTAGTATGGCAAGTACAATATAAAAGAATCCAGCTCAGCACAGGAAACCTTTAACATTTAAGAGTGCCCTTAAGTTAAGGTGTGGTAGCAAACTTCCTAACACTGGATCTAAATGACCTTTTGGTAGGGCTGTTGAGGAGGGAATTCAGTTATAATTTGTGTGAACTTGATGCTTTAAATTGCTCCTTTGAGTTTAGAGTACGTGTGTGTGTGTGTGTGTGTGTGTGTGTGTGTGTGTGTGTGTGTGTATTTTGTGTATAGTTATTTTACCTCCATGTATGACTGTAAACTATACACAAGCAGTGCCTAAGGAGAACACTCAGCCCACTGTGCTTGCCAGTCCTTCTCCAGAACCCATTCCGTGGACCTACAGGCAGACCTACAGGCATTAGAGAAAGTGTTTAACCTGTTGGTGTCCATTTTTCTTCTCTTGAGGTTCTTGGGAAATAGAACTGCTGCTTTGTAGCAGTTCACACCAACGACATTGGTAGCTGAGGTGAGGGTGTTGGTATTTAATGTATTCATCCATCTGTCTGTCTTCAGTATGGGTTCAGGGTTTACTTGTTGGATTAACAGGAATGGGAAAGACAGAGTTGGATTCAGTTCCAACTCTGAAAAGAGCAAACAGGGTTTCAAGAAAACCTTGTAAAAGGCTTGTTCGTGGTCTCTTTTTGTCTTTAATATGTTTTTACCCAAGAGTCTAATTCATAGCCCTGCTCCATGTGTCTGGGTTGCTAAAGTTACTAGCTTTTATTTGCACTCAAAGAGCTCTGATTCTAGTTGAGGAGAGATAGAAAGACAGCCTGTCATCCTAGAATCTGGCTGAAATTCTTTACCAGCAGAAAAATAAAACTCCCAGCACTATTAACAACTGTTTAAGGGCTTTCTCCCTTCCCAGCTATATACATAATTCTCTAGGACCAGAAACCCCGTATACAGAGAAAGGATATGTACTAACTAAACTCCTTGTGCAACCTCAGTGGCTTCTGGTGTTACTTTATGAGATTCTAATTTCATCCAGAGCATCTCCAGAGCATTTCTGTAATTTCATTATCATGATAGAGACAAGAAGAAACAGAAGAAACGGTTTCTTAGCAACCTTTTGAGATATAACTCAAGTGTTTTTTTTTTTTTAATGTAGAAATGGCTGATGCTAAAACAATGGAAACTCCCTCGAGTAGACCCTACCTACACCTGAGTGTGTGTTACTTTTTGTGATTGTCTTGCAAAAGAGCCCACACCCAAGCCCTTGGGTGAGACTTACTTTCCCTGAGCACCTCTCCTTCTCTTAACCCTTGTACTTAAGCCTATATTAAAACATCTTTAATAAAACTGCCAACTCTGCTTCATAGTGCTAATATTCATTTCAGCATGGAAGCCATAAATCCCAGTTTGGCCAGATTTGAGGTCCCTAAAGCTTTAAAGGAACTCCTCAGTTTGTGAGAGTGAGGGTATAGAGCTGTGTCACTGTCCTCTGACCTCTGACACAGTGAGGGAATCAACCATGCTAGGATAAAATTCAAAGGTGGCTGGTCGGTAGTTGAACAGTGTGGGTGACTGGGGAAAGTGAAGACATTTGAACTGGTTTTCAGGGATAGCTGAGGTGGCCACACACTCAGTAAAGAAGAACTTCCTGGGATGAGAGTAAGAAGCAAGCACAAGGCTGTGGTCATGCTAGGTTGGGAAATGTTAAATAATTGATGCAGACTCTGGAATGGGCTGTGCCCAGGAAAGTAGTGAAAAATAAAATTGATATTTTGGGGTGACCCTCACTTAGATGCAGAGATGTGCTAGAGTGCTACCTGAAGTTATTTTTGAAAATGTGGTCTGGAGTCTCACGGATTGTCATTAAATATGGCCAACTTTGCATGGCTCATCTTATGAGCTACCAGAAATCATACTTCTCATTACATTCCCTTGGCCACCAAAGGGATGTATTTCTAAAAGAACCCATTTAAGATCAGTCAACATAAATAATATAATAATCAGGGGAGAATATTTTCTGGAACAACTCAGAGTTATAGGATAAACCAAGATAAAATTATGCATCAGGATGGCTTGAAGACCTATCCAGTTGATTGGATGTCACCAATGGACTGCTTTAAGAGAACATCATTTGACCGGCTACACTGGCTTTGAGCGCTGTGTGGAGCTCAATAGTATAAAGCACTCCTCAGATAAAACACATGAAGCGAATTTGGGAGTTTGGCTTTATCTCTATCATGAGTGTAGCTGATCTGAAATGTTGAGCACAGTGCCTTCAGTTTAAAATGGTTGAAATACTTTTTATTATTATTGTGAGGAATAGCAACATGAGTGTGCGTATGTGGAAGATGAGCATAAAGCATATAAGGGAAAACAAAACCTCCCACCTATGCACGAAACTCAGAGTCATGATAAACACTTCAGTGCAATTGTTTTGTTGTTACAGGTTAAGTTCATTTAAATGAGTTTTTAAAAACACAGCACTTCATTAAATCTATCACTTCCTTTATGCATGCCTTTATGAGAATATTTTTCTCACTATAACTTCATTATAAAGCTTTCTTAATGCCCTCAGACTAGAATGAAAGATTACAAGCAGTGGAAAGATGGGTTATTCAGACGCTAATTTAATATTGACATAGGATCCAACTGAGATTCAAGTTCTAATTCATCAGTAAATACTACAAGGTCCTTGGTATCTATTCTTTCTACATACCACCAAGCCTACAATATGATATGGAGTGTGTACTCAGAAAAATATTAGTTACTTGAATAAAAGAATAAGTGGATGAATGGGTGTATGTGAAATTCTGTTTATTCTTCCCCCCAAATTTACCAATCTCTCTCCGGTAAATACCCTGGAGGGCTAGACAATTGGGATATATATAGCTCACTTTTCCTGTAAACATACAATACAGAACAAGAACAACTTTCAGCCTTCTTTCTCTGGAAGATGTGGTTTGTCTGCAGGAACCAACCTTTGCAGGTTCTCATCTGTGACATTAGAAACAGAGAAGGGACTGTTGTTCTGCCCAGTTTGGCTCCTGAACTCCTGAACTGACTCCAGAAAATCTGGCCTCTGCTCTAGCTCCCCAGAGCCCTCCATCCCTGTTTCATTCCAACTTGTTCCTGCCCAGAAGCAACAAGTGGTGGAGGCGATTCCTCAATGGAGAAAGACCACAGGAAAGAGGGGTGGCACTGCTCCCTTAGGATGAAAACAGCCCTTGTCAAACCCTCTGCCACCCCAGCAGCTGGTTTAACTGGAAACCTCAGATTTCTCTAGTTCTGGCCAAAAACTGGTTTGGCAGCTCTAGGGGAATGTTTCTAGCTCGCTGACCCTCACAGCAGGTGTTGGCAATTTTGCCAAAGAAAAAGAAAAGGGGGAAATGGTTTGGAGGGTGGACTGAAGGAACGGAGGAGCTTAGTTAAATTCAGAACACTAAACTTCTGCTCACTTGCAAGTTTACACTTGGGGATTCTCCTAAAATTGCTACCATCCGGGCAGCCTCAGTCCTTCCCTCACTCTCCAGTCCTTTGCAAGGCAATTTTGTTGCAATGCAGTTTGTTCTGCAGCGCGATTATTGAAACTACTGAATCCGGCCGAAAGCGACTTTTTTTTTTTTTTTTTTTTTTTTTTAGCGGTGCTTCTCCCTGCAACGCTATTATCATTATTAAGGCGGTTGGATCTCTGCTCTTTCCCCTCCTTACTGCAATCGCACTCCGGCTGTGATTGCTCGGGTCTGACTTCGCAAGTGGCGGTGCGCTTCAAAACCCCCTCATCCGCCCCTCGCCCGGCTCTCCCTACTCCCCTCCCTTTTCCGCGCCCAGGCGAAAGCAGCCGATTGGCAGAGCGGGGCTTTCAGGAACAATAACAGTGGGGGGAGCCGGGGCCCCGGGGAGCCTCCCCGCCCCCGGCCCGGCTGCGGCTCACGCCCCTCTAGGGGTCCCCACCTCCGCGCCGCCCTACGGGCTGACCGGCGCCCGGGCCCGCCCCCGGCGCCCACCATGTACGCCTTTGTGCGGTTCCTGGAGGACAACGTCTGCTACGCGCTGCCCGTGTCGTGCGTGCGCGACTTCAGCCCCCGCTCGCGACTGGATTTTGACAACCAGAAGGTGTACGCGGTGTACCGGGGCCCCGAGGAGCTGGGCGCCGAGCCTGAGAGCCCCCCGCGTGCCCCCCGGGACTGGGGCGCGCTGTTACTCCACAAGGCCCAGATCCTGGCGCTGGCAGGTGAGCGAGCGGGCTGGGAGGGGCGTTGGGACCGGGCGGACCTGGGGCTGGTTCCGGGAGAGGCCAGGCAGCCGGCTGGGGCCAGGGAGCCACAGCTTGCTCCTGCCTCCCCTTTCTGCTCCTTGGGTTTTCTTTGAGTACCAGGTGTCCCTATGAGGCCAGACCAGTTAAAAAGACCCGAGGGTCCCCTTTGTCTCCCTTGCTTCCCTGACACTCCCGAGCCTTGCTGTCAGTCTGCCTTCTCTACTCTGCTCTCTTCTTTCTGACTCTTTTGTATTCCCCTTGCCTCTTCACTTTCCCCTTCTCTGGCTGCCTACTCTAGCTGTCATCTCTCCCATCTCTCACCTTTACCTCTCTCAGTTACTTCCCTGTGTTGCTTTCTATCTTAAGTTTCTCAAACTGTACCTCCCTCTCTCCCTTTAAGGCCCTTGGTGTCTCCTTGGAGCAAGAAGCAATGTTAGGTCTTTCAGATGGGTGTCCTTTCTCACAGAAGGAATCTCTGACACCTCATTCCTTCTGGGCCATCTATAGGACAAGGAGGCCTAACCTCAGTGTACTGCCCAAGTGGCAGAAGTGAGGAGGTGAAGGTCCTCAGGTAGCATCACCTCCACCCCGCTTTATGCATCTCCCAGAAGGCTCCTTGAGAGAAAGATGGTACAAACAGTTTCTAGTTCAGGTTAGGGCCTGACCTCCTAAGTCTTGATCACACCCGGGGGAGGGGAAGAGGGGAAGAAGACAGGCTGACATGCAAGCAGGTGGTCTCTTGGTTAATGGATAAAGATAGATTCAGTTTGTTAACAGGACAAGACAAGCCTCTCGGCCTCCTGTACTATGCTGTATCTGTCATGCTGAGACATAGGTTCCTCTTCAAGTAGAAACACTTGGCCTTCTTTCTGATCCACTTGTAGAAAGCTTGGGCGTACACCAAGTGGGGAAAAGGAAGTTACCACTTCAAGTCTGGAGAGCAGAGGTGTAGCTGCTGCTGGTAAGAGTGTTGCCTTCGAGTAGGCAGTGACAGTCACCTTCCACCTGGAAGACAACCCCAGAGATTAGGAGCTGAATGAAGACATTGCCAGGATTCTGTGATTTTGACACTTTTCCTACTTTTTCCAGGTTCCTATGTTTCCTCTCCTTTAGCCTAAAGATGAACCTAGCATGAATCATAGTGACTTTGTCCAAGATCCCTGGACAAGCTGTCGGTGTGTGAGGCCTGGTGACTGATTCCTTTTTAATACCTCTAGAAAGTAGGCTTATGGGAATAAAGGAGCGAAAGATTTGGAATAGATCAGCACCACAGGGTCCTCTTTTTGGAAGGTTGAGTACTTATCACCTCCCAGACAGGCCTTGGGGCACAGGGCTGTAAGTCCACTCACCACCAGATGCTCTGGTCCAAGGGAAGAGTGAGCGAGAGGGGATGGGTTTAGAGCAGAACTCTTTGTGGCTGATTAGGTTTTATTTTGTTTGCGTGCTTTCCTTTAATTATCTAGGAGGGAATTAGGAACTTATTCAGCAAGAGGATAAGCCGGAGGAAATGTTAACTAGATGGAATGTTAACTATTTGCTACAAGAAAGGAGAGCATGCTACTTGATGATCCTGACTCGTGGAGATCCGGGAGAGCGGATAGGCTGGGTGCCAGGTGTCAGTGGTAAAGGCCTCTTAGAGATTGTTGGTCTACCTGTCTGTCCACTCAGGCATTCGTTTCTCCATTCCTTCAGAAAGTGTAGACACATGGTGCTCTTCAGGAAGTACAGGGAGGCTAGTTAGACAGATGGCAGCCGACATCAGCTCTTATCGTAAACTCAATACAAGTTACAGTGGGTTATTAAAATACATACATACGTACATGCGTACATATGTACATACATATGAAACCTAGGCAGCTTATAGAAACTCAGCAGAGTAGATGCAGAGACGAGTGGTACCAGTTTCAACGTAAGGATTTAAAAAGTGCTTCTTCTTATCTCCAGTTTTTTTGGTTTTTTTTGTTTGTCTTTTCAAGACAGGGTTTCTCTGTGTAGACCTAGCTGTCCGAAAACTCTGTAGACCAGGCTGGCCTCGAATTCAGAGAGATTGGGTGCATGGCAGGGAGGTGTGGGGACTATGACAACTTGAAGTTGGCTAAATTCCATTTTGAATTCCAGTAAGCTGGTAAATTTATAAATTGGGACTGTTGCTCTTGGTGCAGACCTGATTGGAAGGGTCGGTGTGAATCCTGGAATTCCTCTATTCTGGAACCACTCCCCCTTGTGTGTTGAGCTTGGTGGCTTTGAGGCTTGCTTGAAGTGACTTCACTTGAAAACTCATCTGACCCCTGCAAAGACCTTTCTCTTATCTAACTACAATCAGCCTTCTTGTGGGACTTAGGGATTCAAACCGGGATCCCATGGGCTCTTACAGTCTTGCAGTCCAGGTGGCAGAGTTGTGCTGTGCCACCAAGTTTGGGGAATTAGTCCCTCAAGTGGAAGGCAGAGATGGCTTTGTGTCTGTGGACTGCCCCTGGTTAATTAATTAGTTGTGACCTCAGAAGCACAGTTCCAGAGGAAGCCTTGGAACTGCTTTATGGCTTTCCATGATATATGTTAACATTACCTTGTATCTGCCCAAGCCAACCATTGTAGCTGCCTCAAAGTGTCCCTTTCCATAAACCCAGGAAATACCCAGCCAGCTGCTATGGTGCTTTGTACTTTGCCATCTGCGGTAGCTTATGCCATGGCAAAAGTGTGTCAAACTCTAGTGCATGACTTCTTTTGTACCAAACTACAACTCCAACTTTAGCTAAAAAAACAAAAAAAAAACAAAAAACCAAAAAAAAAACCAAAGTCCCCTCCCCACTCTTCAGTGACAGTCTTGCTATGTGCCTGCTCATTATCGATGTTCATCTCTTACCCACTGATAGATTCTCCCATGATTCTTGTTTCCATTTTATAGATGAGAACACTGAAGCTCAGAGACCTCCCTGCAACCACATACAAATAAACAGCAAAGGCAGAATGGCAGCGCAGATCTTCTAGTGCCAGCCCTGCTTGCAGTCTCCTTTGTAAGGTGGCTGATGAGCCAGCACAGCGTGGTGAGGAAAGATTGAAAGGAGAGGGAGAATGTCAATGAAGTGTGTAGCCCAAGGCAAGTTTTCCAGCCAGAGAACAGAGTTAGTTCTGAGTATTCAGAGCCATTCTGTTCTTCCCCTGTCACCTGACCAACCTTTGTACAGGGATCACAAACTTACCCACACTTCTACTTGTCATCTGCCTGTTGAACCCCTCTCACAGGAGCTCCTGTCCCTTATAAAGAAACAGAATGATTCAAGGATCGGCTCTCCTGTGAACTGTGGTCTCTTCGTCTTTGCGTTTACTTGCCACGCAGGCTGTGAAATTGAGAACTTCCCTTCCAACGACCTCACAATTGTCTAATTGCAATCTAGCCTGCTTATGGGGTTTAGAGACTCCAAACTGGTTCCTGCAGGCTTTTACAGCTTTGCAATGCTGTCATTTTTCTGGGCACCTATAGTGTGTAATTACTGCTCGACTGCCCTAAATTCTCTTTGTGGCCAAGTGTGTCCTTACTGTTTCTTATAGGCCAGACACAATGCAGTAATGTGTGGCTATACCAATGCTGAGTCCAAGGCTCCAGGATCACAGTGATGACACGATCCAGGGAAGACAGTCCTTTTAGGGCCAGGCACATGGGGTTTCTGTGGAGGGGACAGAGCGATGAAGGAGAAATAAACACTGTCCTCAGGGAGCGTGTGGAAAATGCTAAGTAGAGGTAGAAGCCAGGCTCTAGGGAGCACAGAAAAGGGACCAATTCTAGGAGGGTTTGAAGTTTTTCCTTTCCAGATCTACAAGCACTGGCTATTTCAGTCTTGTCTAGGCTCTTACTCATCTAAACCCATGCAGCAGCCTACTGATTGATCACCCAGTCTCCAGTCCACTGTCAGAATGATCTAAACCACTGTCTTATCAATCAGCTTCTCTCCTTAGAACTCTCTGTAGCTCCCCACAGCCTGCTTACCAAAACTTGAGCTTTTTGGCCTGTAGACCAGCCCCAGGCCCAGTTTACTTTTCCAGACTCACCTCTCCAACCCCCTACCCTGCTTGTCCCCTACCCTGGACTTGAGGTATATCTTGCTATTGAGCTAGCCACAGTGGATTAATCTTTGTCTGACTTGAGCCCTCTATCTAATCAGAGTTTACCTTCCTTTGGAGAAATCAGACTTGGGACCCATTGTTGTCCAACTGTGAGAGAGAATGGACAAAGTACACTGGGAACACCCAGCCTTAAGGGCACTGTCTTGCCTCTACCCCAAGGGAGATTATTCCTCCTCAGGACTCTGCGCTGTGCTTGCTCCCCACTTTTGACTTGTTGCATTTTAAGACTGTTTTGGTTAGTGAGTGATCCTGCCAGACTGTGAACTTTGCCAGTGCAGGGACCTGCAGTTCAGGGCTGTACATCCACTTGAGCCAGGCTCTGTTGCTCTCACACACTCTGTGAAGACAAATGTTTTATCATGTTGTTGTTGTTGTTGTTGTTGTTTTAAGAGAGGAGGTATAGGAGGCATGAACCTCTAAGCCACAAACTTGGTTTTGTTTTTAGAACAGAAACCTGAAATGGGATTTTGAGGTTTCATTCAACTTTATTCATCTGGAAAAAGTCAACATTCTTTATCACTCCCTTGACTAAAAGAAACCCCACACTTGAGGGAAATAACTCCCAAAGCCACGTTCTTCTCACTTTGGTAATTTTAGCTCATTCAGGGCTCAGGTCCCAGCTTGGCACTGTCAGTCCAAATAGATCACTTGCTCCAGAAATGCTTTGGAACTTCTACAAAGTTAGCAGAGAAGCAGGGGACTAGCCAATTTCACATGCAGAGATTGTTGCATGTCATCAATGGGAGACTGCCAAGCAAAGGATTGCTTTTTTTTTTTTTTTAATAAGCAAGTGAAAACTTTTAACTTAGGTTTTGACATGTTCTACTGATACACACTTGAGTAAAGATTGGGAA